GGCGCCGGCCCCTGCGCCCCCCACCCCCATTGGCAGGAGTGTGGGTATCCTTTCCTCCTCCAGGACATCCCCTGGCCCTCCGCCAGCAGCGCCGGCAGCCCAGCAGCCTGCGGGTTTAACTGCGGGGCCGAGCTCGCTGAAGCCACCCACGCGCTCCCTTCCCCAGGGACCGGGCGCCCAGCAGAGCTCCCGTGGGCTGGGGGAACCGGGCACAGTGCTAGAGGGAGCAAAGCAGAGCATCCTCAAAACGAGCAGGTTAAAGACAGAAACCAGTTCCCAACTACCGAGTCTTTAGGAAGTCAGAGCCAGACGGATGCAGCTCCAGGAGGAAGCCCCCGCCATGATGGGGATGCTGCGTTTCGGGAGCCACCACCGCGGCTGATCACTTCTTCTCAAGGAAGGGGCTGAAAAGTCCCCAGTCGAACGCGAGCATGGCCTGAGGATTGGGCCGCTCCTTGGGCTTCTTGAAGTTATCCTTCTCGGTGCGGAGGGTCCTCAGCACCTCCACCGGGTCCGTCTTGCCCGTGAACTTCTGCAATGGCTCCTCCCTGCGAGGAGACCGGTTCTGCTGTGACCACAGGGGACAGGGACACCCCCCCCCCCCCCCAACTGGGACCCCAGCACACATGGGGATGGACAACGGGGGAGTCACATCCCCGTGCCGGGTGGCTGCTGGGGCACACGGGGCTTGACTGCGGGTGCCCTGTGCTGGGCAGTGCAGGACCTTGTGTCCAGGTACCCTCCCCTCCCTGCGGACTTGGATTTCCCACCAGCTAGTGAAGCCACGGGAGAAGGGGTGATGCTGGAGGGAAAAGGGGAGCAGAGTTTGGGGGCAGGACCAACCAACCCCCCTCGGGTTTGGGGTTGACCCACGGCGGGGCCCTTCGCACCCCCAATGCACCGGCGCTGCTTACGTGACCCGCAGGAAAGGGTTGTAGAGAAACTCCTCCTGCAGCGTGGAAGGCACCGTGGGCAAGTCCTCATCATCCCGCTGCTGCCAAGGAACCAGAGACGTCCAAAAACCTGCCAGCACCCAACACCTCCTCTGCCCCCACCCCAGCAGGGGCACAGCCACTTACTTTGGCCCATGCGAGTTTCTTCTTCACTATTTCATTCTCCGGTTCCACTTTCAAGGCGAACTTGAGGTTTCGGACAGTGCATTCGTGGCCACAGAACACCTTCTGCAATGCCAATGGGAAACACTCGGTGTCACGCGTGCGCCCAGTGCCGGGTCCAATCCAGCCTGGTCCCGCTACAGCCCCAGCCCCGGGGAGGGGTGCTGCCTCCCCAGCGATGTCAGCCCTCAAGCCCCCTCCCCATTTTGGGGTCCCTCCCCTGCCTGGGGCTGAGATTCAGCGCACTCACTGTCTCCTTCGGCAAAGTCCCCAGGATTTGGGTGAGGTTGGTGTACATCTGCTCCGCCGTCCCCTCGAAGAACTTCCCGCAGCCTCCCACGAACAGAGTGTCACCTATGGGGAAAGGGGTCTGGACACAGAGGGGACCCTGGCCCCGCTCCCAGGGATGGGGTGCGGGGTGGGAACCCCCACGCGCTGGATTCCCCCCATGAGGTCAAGCTGCGGTGGGACAGGGAGCACGCAGGCAGTACGCCCTATGTCCCGGTACCCACAGGGTGCGCATCGGCAGGGTGGGATACCTGAGAAGAGAGCCGGAGCATCTGGGGAGCCGTCCTCCCACATGAAGTAGCACATGTGGCCCGAGGTGTGGCAGGGGGTGAAGAGGCACCTCACCCGGATGGCCCCAAACTGTGGGGAGAGAGGATCAAGACCCTGTGAGGGTCACCCCAGCCCTGATGGGCAGCCAGACCCCCTCAGACCTCCCCAAGCCCTACGGCATCGCCTCCTCAGGGCTCAGCAGGTTGCAGACATGCCACGGGAGGCAGTTTGGGCAAGTCCTGCATTGCACGTTGTCTGCTCTGATGGCGTTTAGCAGCGAGACCCCAGGAGAGGGTTGGGTCGGGTCCCCCAGCGCAACCCCAGATGGGCTGGGAACGGGATGGGGTTTCTCCTCCAGTCCAGAGCTCCATCCCACTCCAATTCCACAGTGACATATCTGCAACCGCCCCAGGGCACGGGGAGCCCGAGCATGGCCCCAACCAGGCACCAACCCCATTAGCTGCCGGCACGATGCTGCACCGCTGAGGACCGCACCATCGCCCAGCTCCTGCTCCCTGCCAGCCCCAGCCACCCCATGGGGCAGGATCCACGCACGGGGGCCGAGCCCTGGGGCACTTTTATGGCCACGCACCGTCAGCTCCTGGTCGTGGGTCACTTTGTGCGTCAGCGCCCCGATCCGCTCATCGGCACCATACACCCGCAGGCCGGGGTAGAGCCTCGCCAGCTCCTCGTTGCCCCTCGCGTGGTCCCTGTGCCGGCAGAGGAGGGAATGGGCACCCGGTCCCGCATGGGACACAGCCACCCCCGGCTCGCGCCGGCCGCACTCACCAGTGGTGGTGGGTGGTGAGGACCGCTCTGAGCACCACGTCCTCCTTCCGGATGATTTCCAGCAACTGAAAGGGACCCAGAGCAGAAGGAAGTGAGCGCAGGGAGAGGAGGTGACGCACACCCCGCAGCCGCTACAGCCGTACAGCACAGCCATGACCAGCCGGCACCCGCCGTGCCCGTGACAGCACAGGATCTGTCCCATACGGCACCGCTCTGCAGGCGAGAGGCCCGACAGACCAGGGCAGAGAAAAGAGTCAGAAACAACTGCTCAACAACGGGACAATGAGGGTGGGACGAAGGCTCAGCTCCCCGGGGCCGACCCCGTCGCACAGAGCGGAGCAGGCGGATGGGAACGCGCTGCTCCCACTCCCACGGGGACGGCGGCATTTTATGGCCGGTGCTATCGCAGCGTAAGCACAGAGGTGCGGCACGCGCTGCGCATGGGGTCACTGCCGCAGCAGAGAGACGCTGGCCATGCAACCCCTGCCAGCTATGGCGAAGAGCGGCTGCCAACCCCACGGCTCAAGCTGCCAGGAGGCTTTTAACGCCAACTTAAAATTCATCGCTGCTAACAAACCCTCTGGCTGCTCCTGATTACGTTCCTCAAAGAGGAAGGAAACATCCGTGTCAACAACAAACGCTTAAAAACCGCGACGGCGTTTGCACGATGCGCAGCAGCGGAGGGTGGCACAAGGGCGTCACCAGGCAGGGGGACCACGGGGGTCACAGCAGCGTGGGATGACCCCGGCGCTGCCTTCCCTGCAGCCTGGCTCCTGGAAAACACCACTTTTCAGCCTATTTCAGGTTATTCTCACTTGTTTTGGGGTCTGCACAGCTTCCACCTTGGGCACTGGGAGGTAATGGTTAAGGCGACGTGGAAATCCCCCCGCAGCCCAGGGGTGGGTGGGAGTGGGGTGTGACACACACACACACACACACACACACGCTCCGTG